CTACATATACAGTATGTCCATATATCCAGTTATTGTTTCCTCAGCAGTGTTTTCCAGTACTTTACTCTCTGGACGACTGAAAATAACCTCTGAGGTGTACTAGGCAACCAATTATTTTTTTTCTCTTATTTTAATTTTTTTTTATCAGTGAAAAAATAAACAACCACACCCCCTTCTAAATCCGCGCCTGTTATATATTTGTTAGAAAGAGGGGGTGGGCGAATGTGTGTTGAATAATATACTGTATACAACGATATTCCCTGCTGTTGTATGATTCTTTCCTTATTTTCAGCAGCTTTAATTAATGGATATAGACTTTAAAATGTCAAATAATTAGGCTTCCTTGTAAGGTGTACATCACCCTGAAACTAAAAAGTAAGCACAATCTTTCTTTTACTTCTTATACTGTACTAACCAAACCGAGCCTCTGCTATCAAATGAATTCACTGTGCCTTATATACGGCGATGTACTGTATGCAAAATAGGCTCAAGATTGGACTTAACCTATCACCTTCATTTTTATTGGTCGTTCAATTTCTAATTTCCCACCAAAAGCTTTTTCCCTCAAAATCTATGCGGACCGATAAGTAAGCACTCACTGTGCTGTAATTGGTTGAGTACGAACTCGTATAGTGTAGCACTGTAGCAGGTGTAGGCGGAACGATTTAGGCTAAACCAAAATTTTTCCAGGCCGGACCAATATTATCCAAGGAGGACTGATTTGGCCGGCCAAAATCGGTCCCCCGGACAAATTTTAGCGGCTAAAATCGGTCCCCCGGACCAATTTTGGCGTGACAGGACAACACATCTTGATACTTTACTCTTTGCCTACGATACATACGAAAAGTCAATTCTATTGTAAAGCAAAGGGGGGAACAGCAAGAACAAATAATATTAAGATACCGGTAGCAGTACAACTATGATCAAAGCTTGCTAAAATCTGTCAGTGCAAGAGTAGATATATTTAGTTACAAGGAAGTGGTATATGTCAAAAAGACAATGCGTTTCGATAACCCCAGTTGGTTGCCATACTGTCTAGGGTCAATTTTTGGGGTTGATTTCATCAAGTACAAATTTAGTGATTTTACGCTCGGCTATTTCAGATAGAGTTTACGTTAAAGAGATTGGTCTTAGTTTATCTATAGTGGGAGGGTACAATTTTGGCACAGGGTCAACAGTTGCTGCCTTCCATTGTGAAGGTGCAGTACTTCAAACTGTGAAAATGAGGCATTTATTAGGTCAGTGACTGGACGACTAAATTCATAAGCACACTCTTTGAGCAGTTTCTGTGGGATACCATCAGGACCTTTGGATTTGGCTACAGAGATGTTTTTAGGTCATTATAGATCTCCCATGGCTCATAGGGGGTGGAACAGAGCTGGGTAGAAATGCAGGGAGGTTATTTGGTGAGATAGGAGGCTGTTTTTGTGAAAAACTGGCCAGGTGCTTATTAATTTCATTAGCCGTTGGCGTATGGTCTTCTATTTCGATTCCAGGAACGGTAATTGTTGAGGAAGCGCGGGGCCGGAATTCATATGTTTGCAAGTCTGTGCACTTCACTGTGCCACCTTAGATGAGTGGCCCTCAATCCCCTGACCTTGTGTTCATTATAGCGAGACTTAGCAAATTTCATTTCCCTTATGACGCAGTTTCTTAATTGATTCCTACGGTTTTCGTCACCCTTAGCAAAGGCTCTTTGTCGTAGATTGATCAGTTTTTTTAATCTTTATAATTTTTAATAGGGAACAATTTGTTTACAGCATTATCAATTATTAAATAGGAAATATCAGCTTTAGTCTGTACATGATGTGCATTATAAACGCTAGCCCAGGTTTCATTTTGGATCCAGCGACCAAACTCATTAATTTTAGACTGAGGCATCGGTCTGCAGGATTTACGTATTAGAGTATTATCATGCCTTGGCACTTTCAGACTCATAATGATGACATTATGGTCACTAAGGCCAGTTGCAGACTTAATAACGAGCTTATCATACAGGTCAAATAAGTCTGTTATGATTACTTCTACAATAATTATTGGCTCCCCTAGTTGAGGCTTGGACAACTTGCTTCAGTTTGTTACCAGTACATATATATTTGTGATTAAGCATATTGAGGTCTCCGCATATGATAATACCACCTAGGGATCTGGTGGTCCTAATATATTCAACACCAACACGAATGTGGTTTATCATAACTATCACCAGGTATCGACCAGTAGCCTGATGGAAGAAAACACTGACGATGACAATGTAGGGGGTAGTAATGTGAAGCGCTTAGAGGCCTGTAAAGGCATGAAGCGCTATATAAGAATGACATATTATTATTATTATTATTATGTCTTGGGAGTTGAGGGTGATTCACGAGGATCCACTCAGCCTGGACTTCAAGATGCTCTGGAACTTCTATTGCATTGATGAATTCGGTTTTCATAGTTTCTTTAACGTATGTTAAGATGCCACCACTGCTATCAGATCCACATTAGCTGTAAGAATTAAATCCAGGGATGCTATGACGTTCAGTAGGAGTGTTCGTAGTAATCCATGATTCTGTGATACAGCATATCAGGAGAGTTTTCAGTAATAATACTAAATTCGTTTATTTAATATAGATCTGGCATTCGTGACTATCAGCTTTGGCAGGAAATCGTTTTTAATGATCAATTCATTTGGTTTTAACCATTTTCATCATAGAAAATCAATATAACATAAATGAACGATGAACAATATAAATTACCAGTTAACTTCTTCAATACTAGTTTTCGAAATAACTAAATGTAATAAACAAAGAAACAAAATCACATACGTACCTACAGAATTTAATATTAATCCTTTAAATTGTAACACTCACAAATATACATCTGAATTTTTAAGTTGTTCGCATCTAACTGTTATATACTTATCACTAATGAATTAACTACGAATTACAAAAAAAGTAAATAAATAAGAATGTCTGTTCTGTGTAGTTTTTTTTTTTTTTTTTTTTTTTGATCTGTTGTGCTTTTTGATTTTAATTTATTCATTTTAGAGTAATTTTTCCTATTTTCTTTTTCTTTTTTATTCATGTTTCTCTTTCGGTTTGGAGAGCCACTTGACAATATTTTAGTATTCTCTTGGTTATCCTGTCTTCCCGAGTTTGAAACTGTTTTGTGTTCAAATTAGACAAAATAAATAAAATGAAATTAAACTAAACCCACACAATTAACCACAAAAACTGCAACGCTTATAGATAATATCTTCTGTAACAACATATATGACGAAGTGTCTCCAGGAATCGTCATATAGATATATCTGATCACTTTCCTATTTTTTCGTTAATTCATAAAAATTCATCTTCTACAAATGATAGCTGCAAATACACTTACTCTAAAAGAGTGAATGACAGCTCTATAAACGCACTTAAAGATTATCTTTCTCTAATTAATTGGAAAAATGTATATAATATAAACGAGGCAACTCATGCCTACAATGCCTTTCACACAGAGTTGAATACATTATATACACTAAACACATTAAGGTACGTTGTTATAGGTGTAATTTTAGAAAAGAACGAAATCCCTGGAGTACAAAAAGTTTAATAAAATCAATTGATACTAGAAACAAATTTTCAAACAATTTATCAGAACTACAAAAACAGTCTGAAAAAAACAGCTATATTAAACATCGTAATAATTTAACCACGTCTACTCAAACGTGCTAAAGAAATTATTACACCAACAAAATTTAACAATTAAAACCATGATATATATAAAACGTGGCAAACAATAAACATTGTTATGGGTAAGAGGACCAAAAAAGGCATGCCCTCATATATGCTACTTAATGGAAGCAAAATCACTGAACCTCAAACTATTTTACACTTTTTAATGAATATTTTATAAACACTGTACCAAACTTTTCATGGTATAAATAGTACTTCATGTAATAACTCAGTTACTTTTTTTTTACCTAAGCCCATTAATGATTCTATTTTTCTTTATCCAGTTACTGAGGATGAGATTTTAAAGTTATTATTCAATTTAAAAGATAAATAAAGTCCAGGAATGGACAGGCTTTCCAACAAAGTTATAAAGTAAGTTTCATATTTTATATCCAGGCCTTCATTACATATTTTTAATGTATCTATATCAACTGGTGTATTTCCTGACTCTTTAAAAATAGCTTAAGTTATACCTATATATAAAAAGAAAAATCTACATCTTTTCAGCAATTACCGACCTATCTTTCTTCTTCCTTGCTTATCAAAAATACTAGAACGCATAATTTATAACAAATTATACACATTTCTTATCAAGAACAATGCTTTATTTCAAAGTCAGTACTGTTTTAGAAAACACCACTCAACGGAACTTGCATTTATTGACATATATGACAAAATACCAGTTGCTCTCGAGAAAAGAATATGCGATAGGCGCTATTTTAGATCTTTCTAAAGCGTTTGATACCGCTTTTATTCTTAATTTACGTTAACTACCTACCAAATTCTTCCAAATTACTAAAGTTTGTTCTGTTTGCAGACGACACTAATATTGCATTTTCTCAAAATGACAAAACTTTATTATTTAACATTATGAATAATGAATTAACTAAGGTATCGAACTGGTTTAAGCTCAACAAATTATCAGTTAATATTTCTAAATGTAACTACATAATTCTTACTCAGCATTTATTAATCGACAATAATATCATATCTCACGTAAACGAAACAAACGTGTTAAAAACAAGCGCACAGCAGCACAAACATTTTAATAAGCATCTATTTCGACAGTAATTGTTACTGTTCTAGAATCTGGCGCAAAACTCGCAAATGGTTTCCAAGAAATTAAGCGATAAAATCTATGAATCATTGTACACTAAATTCTTTTACAGTTTCTATCTAGTCCTAGTGGTGTGTGCTAATTTTATTTGTGAACCTGTCGACAACAAACTTTCATGAAAAGCACTAAATTTTTGGATATACACTCTTTGTGCTATTCGATTATCATGAATTTTTCTTATTTACCTTTGGTTTGTGTGTCCCCTCTGAAAGCTTCTATAGATGTTGGTATGAAGTTCTTTCAATTTTACTTCCTTTGCAACTTTTATAATCTTTAAAATAAGTACGAAACCGTCCAAATTTAATGCTGTGTCTAAGAATAAAATGATTGCATCTGTTTGTTATACTGTTCACTATTTCCTTGAATATATTTGTGTATTCGGTTTCTATAACGACCGATGACAATAAATTTTTAATTGCCATTCCATGTTGACATTAAATTCAACATCATTGTGCAACATACGGTACTATGATATAATACAAAGCGGTAATGTAAATGGTTGGAATGAACAATGTATTGCTTTTATCCTTTCAGACAACACATGATCACAAAAAATAACTTACTTGTTATGTTAATTTCTGCTAAGAGCAGCTAATTTCCCCGTGTGCAAATAGCACTTTCGACGCCACCTAATTCAACGGTTTAATGATCAGGTTTCCACAGGCCTTATACACTTGTTTACCGAGCATTGAGGGTCATGGCACTCTCCGATTCTTATACTCGTTTTTAGAACGGAAGAAACCTTTTATCACAACTTTTAAGAGTTAACTTTTAGTTTAATTAATGCTCTTCTCAATATTTCATTGAAATATTTTTCTATTTAATCGTTTGATTTTCATTTGTATTTTGATTTTTTTTTTAATTGGCTAAACCCAGTTGATAGGCCTACATCTTGTAAAGATGAGCGTGGATTTGCCACAAGTCCCTTAAATTTGACTTATTTAATAGTAGCAGGAGATTTAAATTTTCGTGAAATAGATTAGAAGTTGAATACAATACAAGGATCATCAACTGGTGAGGGAGCGAAATTGCTGGATTGTATAAATGATTTGTTCTTATTTCAACATGTCAGATCCTCGACTCATTTTTTTTTTCAACTCTGTAAAAGTGGTTATATTTTAAAGTTCTGTAGTTCACTTACAAAACAGAATAGCCTCCTTCCATGTAACTTATATGAATATTTATGTATCAATTTTGTTTGTTGTATGGAAAATATATTGAAATTTTGACAACATCATCAAAAGGTAAACAATAACATAAGGAGCTGTCTCTTATACACATCTAGATGTGTATAAGAGACAGATTGTACACTAAATTCTTTTACAGTTTCTATCTAGTCCTAGTGGTGTGTGCTAATTTTATTTGTGAACCTGTCGATAACAAACTTTCATGAAAAGCACTAAATTTTTGGATATACACTCTTTGTGCTATTCGATTATCATGAATTTTTCTTATTTACCTTTGGTTTGTGTGTCCCCTCTGAAAGCTTCTATAGATGTTGGTATGAAGTTCTTTCAATCTACTTCCTTTGCAACTTTTATAGTCTTCAAATTCAGTATGAAACCGTCCAAATTTAATGCAGTGTCTAAGAATAAAATTATTCCATCTGTTTGTTAAACTGTTGACTATTTCCTCGATATCGAATATATTTGTTTATTTGGTTTCTATAACGACCGATGACAATACATTTTTAATTGTTATTCTATGTTGACATTCAATTCAACTTCATTGTGCAACACACTATGATATATTACAAAGCAGTAATGTAAATAGTTAGAATGAACAATGTATTGCTGTTATCCTTTCAGACAACACATGACCACAAACAATAACTTGCTTGTTATGAGAATTTCTGCATTCTTAATTTTCGCATCCCAAATGCTGAGAGCAGCCCCGGCCTTATACACTCAGTTTACCGAGCGTTAGGGTCATGGCACACTCCGATTCTTATACTCGTTTACAGGAGTGGAGTTGAATAGCTCAGTGGATAATGTCTTCTATTGGCAGGGTCCTGGATGCAACTCCTGTGACAGCAGGACTTTTACAACCAAAAACAACTCCACTCCCTAAGCCTCATAAAGAGACTTCGCTGATAAAAGCTT